AGCTTGGCTGTGATGGGGGAGGAGAGAAAGGCCTCAGTCACAGGGCTGCCAGCCAGGGGTACAGAAAGGATCCCCAACCAATCTGCCCTCCAAACTCAGGCAGGTGAGAGGGATTGAGAACTGTCAGGCCCTGGGGCCCTCCCGCTGTGGCCTTAGCCCTGGCACAGGCTCTGGGGATGGGCCGGGAGGCCAGGCCTGCAACCGAGGGCCAGGTCTCACCAAACTTGTTGCCGTCCTCAGCGGTGGCGGAGATGCGACGTCCGGTGACCTGCACGTGCTTGCCACTGGTCCGGCTGTAGAGCTGGTACTCACGGATCTGCCGCCTGCTCAGCTGGTCGGTCATGGCACCCTGGTCCCTCACGTACTGGTTAAAATTAGGAGACGGGTGATTCTCCCCCTTTGCGGTTACCAAGGGAAAAATAGTGTCAATTTGCTTTGGATGACACCACCACTGGTCCATCGGGGGAGAGGGGTGTTTAGGTGAGTGCAGTGGGGGCAGGCCCTGTGTCCTGCAGAGTAGAAGGTGCAAGGTGAAGTTGGCATGAGGCCATGACCTACCCAGGCTGCTGGGTGAGACAGTCATGGCCTTTTGGTTTCGTCCAGCAACTAAACAGCAGGAACCTTGTGTCTGCCCAGGCTTGGGGGACACAGTGATACAGCAGACTTGAAATCATAACTTGGGAAGCTGGAAAGGACCTTCAAGGCTATGGTGTCCCTTCCCATGTTGTGTGGAGGAGGTGCACAGAGACACAGCTCACCTGAGACAGACCCTGTTTTCCTACCTCTGGGGTCTTGGATCCATTAGCCAGGGCTATCTGATTTCTCCTTTATCCTCCCCACACACTTTGAAAGATCCCTGCCCTAGTACCTGTGCACAGAGCAGATGGTTTATTAGGTGCTTTGAGTTAGGGTCACTGGAGAATATTTTGGGATCTCTTATGCCCTTATCTTTATCTAGGGCCCCGTCAGCCCTGTAAGCTGCCTTTCCAGATCCTGCTCCCCTGTGTCTTCCCCAGGTACATGGGGCCCTTTGGGCAGTTGGTTCCCCTTCCTGCGGTGCTCACTTCCCTGTGGGCTCTGTGGGTCTAATACCTCCCTCACGGGAAGTGCTATCAGTGGGATTCAATGGCTGCTTTCACAGGCTGCCTGCCTGTTGGTGCCACAATGTGACCTCTGGTGCCATAGTGTAATTGAGGCTCCCCAGGCAGGTAGAAGGTGTTGCCAGGAAAGGAGCTATTTCCACCCAAGCACACTACCACCACCATCTCCATGCTGGGGCTGCCCTTTCCACTCTGTAACATTGAGTCGGGGAGAAACAGATCACTTCCTGCCATCCTATTAGGTGCCCGTCAGGAGGACAGTTCCTATCCACCTGAGATCGCCTTAGCTCTAGCATGATGCACCTCACTTGTTTCTCTATCTGGATACTATTGGCCATTTGGGGGACAGCCTTGCCCTGCCCAGAATTCCTAATTTCCTCCTTTTTTTTTTTTTTTTTTGATACTGAGAATTGAACCCAGAAGTGGTTAACTTCTGAGCTGGACCCTCAGCTTGCTGTGCCTTAATTTTGTTTTGAGGCAGGGTCTTGCTGAGTTGCCCAGGCTGGCCCTGAACTTGTGATCTTCCTGTCTCTCCTGTCTTAAGGCCTTGAGTAGCTGGTATCACAGGTGTGTGCCACTGAGCCTGGCCCTAATTCCATCTTTATACCAGGCCTGATCTCAACCATCTGGACAGAGCTAGACACAACTGGGTATCCGATAGGGGCCACTGTCCCTAGGGAAAGGGGTGGGAAATATCATCTCTGAGGAGGGAGAGATGAAGGAGCAGCTCTGAGCCAAAGGTTTAACCTGCCCTGGGTTAATCCTTCTGATGCGTCACTGCCCATTGTCATCGCCAGGCTCCCTAGGCAGATTCCAGGTAGTTCTCCAATTTGGGGCACTACCCTGAATCCCACCCTGGAAAAACCTGAGGTGAGAATTTGGGGTGGGGGAATCTGCCAGTCTGCCCCTCCCTGGCTTCCCTGCCAGGGGTGGGGTCCCTGACTGTCCCAGCCTGAGCCTCCTGGCCCAGGTTCAGGCTGTCCGCCCCTCTTGGCGGGCAGCCTCCTCCTGGCAGTCTGTTCCAGGTCAGGGGCAGAGAGGGCCCCCCAAAGCCCCCTCCTCTCCCCATTCCCCTTCAAGCCTTTCACAAAAGCAGCCCACGCCCCCCCACAGCCCACAGCCCACAAGTCCCTCTCCCCGCGGGACCTTGCCTGTCCCTTTCATGTTCCCGCTGCGGGGGGACCTCCCCTTCCACAGCCGCAGACAGCTGCTTGTCAGCCGGCCCCTCAAGCATGGCTGTGGTTCAGCCTGCCGCCCCCTTCGCAGGGGGGTGAGGGGGCACTTCAAGGGGGAAAGGACAGCCTTGCCACCTTCCCCGCGTCCTGAATGGGGCCTCAGCCAGGCCATAAACGCCCCGGCCAGCCGCACCATTGTGCTAATTCCCCTTCCAGAACAGGTTGGGCCACCCCCAGCCCCCTCCCGGCCAGGCTGGGGGCTTTCTTCTTGCTCTCCCTGGATGTGTGAAGCAAAAGGCCTGGAACGGGGCTACAGCAAAAGGGGGAAGGAAAAGGGGGGGCGTTGTCTCTCTCTCCCACCCCCCCACTGCTTCAAAGGCAGCCCAGTCCCTTCCCAGAGAAAAGGCATTTACCTTCAAAAAAAGTCCCCACTGGATAGGAAGAGAAGCCGGCCCCTGGCCTGGGAAAGCCAGGCCGTCTCTCCCCAGAGCGGTTCTGGACCAGTGCATTTTAATAGCTGCACTTTTATGGAGGATCACAAAAAAAGGACGAGCCATGCACAGGGGGCTGAGGCTTGGGGTGGGAGGTGTGCGTGGTGGGGGGGTGGTGGAGGGCAGACTTGGGGTGGGGGGAATGTGAAGAAGCAACCCTGAATTCCATCCCAAACAAATCTTTGGGCTTGACCTCGTTGCCCTATAGGTAGGGAGTTGCCCCACCCCAGCTGGGCATTCCCACTGTGCCCACGGGACCCCGCTGGACATCTGTGGAGGTGGGAGGGGGAAAATGGGGGGATCATACAAGTGGATTTGCATCAAAACCTGTCCTTTCAGGTGCTTGCAGGCTCAAGCCTCACCTGCGCCATGACTGTCCCCTTCCCTCAACTGCTCCTGGGCTCCATCCCTGGAGTCTTGAGAGCATGTGCACTTAGCCTTTGGGGGAGCCCAGTGCAGAGGGGTGGACAGAGAGGCAGAGACTCGGGGAGCAGCGAGGGTCCTCAGAGGGAGACCTCAGATTAAAACCTCTCTCTATCCCCAAGCTTTCCTAGCCCCCTTTCCAGTCATCCCCCAAAAGCTGATCCTCCAAACCTCAGCACCTTCTAGATGCCAGAGAGCCCAGAGCCTGCCTGCACAAGAGGCTCAGAGACCTCCTTCCCCCTCTCTTAGGTGTGGTGGGGAGTGGGGGCGCCTACCTGCGTTTGACAGCAGAGAATCAATAGCTGCAAGCACCTGTGAAGGGGACAAGGCAGACCCAAGTGTGGGTGCCAGTGGCAAGCCCAGGGGTGCACCCAGGCCCCCCAGCCCCCCATCCCTGCCCTGCTCCACCTGCCCCCACCCTGCTCCACCTGGCCCAGCCCACCCAAATAGGAGTCGGGGAGACAGGTCTGCCCTGGGGCTGGGAATGGCAATAGGAGTCCAGTCCCAGGCAGCGCACTTACAGAGTGAGGTTGGGCAGCAGGCGGGCGGCTCCCATCGCTGGAGAGACTTCTTGGGGCGGTCACCCCCCTGCCCCCAAACTCAGGAGCAGATGTGGGCAGGCCCCAGGGGTAGTCCCAGAGAAGTCAAGGTCTCTCGGAGCCACAGGTTTTCAGGGGGAAGAGAGAGAAGGGAGGAGGAGGGAGAGGAGGGGGAGGAGGGGAGGAGGGCGTAATTGGGAGACTGAGGTGTGAGGTGTCCACCTTCCCCGCCAGTGAGGCTGCAAAGCCGGCGCTGGTGGGGGCTCCCCAGCTCGCGCCCTCTGGGCTGCCAGCCCCAGGCTGGGCTACCCAGGCGCAGGGATGGAGCTGCGGGAGCCTTCTCGATTGGGAGGCTGGCCCCTGCAGTCAGTCTCCTGCTTTATTCCTGACCCTTCGGACCTGCCTTACTCCGTGCGGTGCAGGCGTGTGGCAGGCAGGGGAGGGAGGGCGCCTTCCCCTCTTAGGGTCAGCTGCTCCTGCCCTCAGGTTTGGTGCCCCATCTCCCCGAGGGTGAGCAGCAGGTACTGAGGTGGGACTGGGGTCGCGGGTTTGGCTCAGGGTGAGAATTCCCAGAAGCAGCCTTAAAAGGAGGAGCCTCCCTCCAGGGGGCAGGGGTGGGCTTGGCTTGAGCAGCCTCTGGCGCTGCCTCTCGTCACCCCTAGCCACTGGGAAGGAGGGGTTAAGGCTGTCCAACCCTAGCAAATACTGGGTGCAATGGGTTGGGCTGGAGGTGGAGGGTCTTGCAAGGACCCGAATGGAGTCACAAAAGCTGGCCTGAGATGGAGAAGAGCAGGGTACACTGACCTGAGCCACTTTTCCAGGGGGACTCTGCAGTCTTCTCTGAGAAATGGGGATAACAATGCCTCAGGGTATCGGGGGACCAAATGAGAGAGCAGCATTTAGGAGACTTCAAAATCTATAAAACATTCTGAACCTTACTCTTGGCCTGAAAACCAGCCCCATTTACTCTCCCCAGCCGCTCAGTCCCCCCCCTACCACCTCGAGGTCCCTGCGGGCTGACCTCCAGGCTCCCAGCGCTGTGCTGGGCCAGCTTTCACAGTCTCACGTTTCACACCCACATTTACAGATGAGAAAACTGAGGTACATTGGGAGGTCACTTGCTCAAAATGAGCCAGCCAGTGGATGGAGTGACCAGGTGAGTCCATGAACCCTCTCCTCTGATTGTGGGCCGTGCCCTCCAGAGCCCCAACCCCGTAGGGCTTCCTTGTCGGGGCTCAGAAGCCTTTCTGTGTTTTAAGGTGACAGGGAGGTCCTGAAAGCTGATGGCCAGGGAGCTCTGTGCTGTCTCCCCCCTACAGAAAGGGGACGTTGGTGACAGTGGGAGTGGGGAGTGCAGGAGGGGGTCTCTGAGAGAAGCCCAGGTCTCAGCTCTGACTCCCTGGAGTTCTTGGTGCCCTGGGAAGGGAGAAGGGAAATGCTAGGTGTGGGTTCATTTACCTAAGGAGCTGACTTTTAGGGTGAAACTCTCACCTCCAGGTTCCTCTCACCTTCCTGAGCTTCAGCAATCCACAAAGTGGTCTGCCACCCTGGCCCCACACACAAACAAGCCAAGCAGCCCCCGCCCGGGCTCCGTCCAGCTCCAGCAGGGGGCTGTCCAGCTCCGCCTCCCCCGGCTTAAGCCCCAACCAGGGGGCCCAGGAGTAAGTTGCCAGAACTGGTTTAAGGAGGGTGGAGGCTCAAGTAACCTGGGGAATCCAGGGCTTTGGGATCAGATTCAAATGGCATCAAAACTGGAAGCGATTTTAGAGCTTCATGATCTGGTTCAACCCATCATTCCACAGATGAGACTCAGTGGGTTGGTGACTCACCTCGTGTTTCACTGCTGGCACGGTGGTGCATGACAAAAGGCCAGATGCGCACATCCTAGCACAGTGCCTGCAGTTCCCTGACCACACCCCAACCCGCCCGCCTCTCGCCCCCTGCTGAGCCATCCTCTGCACTCCTCTTCCACATTCTTCCCATTACTCTAAGCCTGTTTCAGTCTCTGCCTCTTCCAGGAACCTACCCCAGTGTCTCTCCCCATCAGATTCTGTCTTGATCCCTTGGGGAACCTCTGCCTTCATGCCCAAACCCATCAGCTCCCAGAGAGGGTGTTAGAGGCCACCTCCAGCCAACCTCCAACCCAGGGGTCAGGTGGGATTGCAGGCACAGATTCACAGGGCTCAGGCCCTGATGCTCCACAGTGGTGTCCGCTGGTAGAGGGAGGGGGATTCTACCTTATGCCCTTAGGGTTCATTCACCCAAGGGACAGTGGGATTTGTTCTAGGCCTCTAAGCCTGAGCTCCAGGTTCTTGTGGGTGGGGACAGGGTCTGCCATTACTGACCCAATCTCAGCCCAGGTCTCCATGGTAACAGATGCTAGCAGTCAAGATTGGCTTTGGGACTCAGCCGAGGCTGGTGCCAGGGGGCTCTGGGGCATGGCAGAGTAGCCTGCTTCCTGGGTGAGATCTCTTTGTCTCCTTGTCCTGTCCATTTGGCATTAGGAGGCCTGGCTTCTGGTTCAATTTGCTCCTTTGCCCCCAGGGGAGAGTCAGTGGTGTGCCCCAGGTTGGGGAGCTACAAGGCCTGGCGTGCTGTAGGCAGGGACCTGGGTGTTTTCCTATCCCCTTGCTTGGCCTTCACAGCTGTGTGACCATGTCAAGTCCCTTTCCTTCTCTGGTCTCAGGCTCCCAGTTCATAAAAGGAAATGGCCACTACTAATGTTGTCAGAACTGCCACCAGGAAGGTCAGCTGAGATTTGTGATGGTTTTTCAGATGACTGAAAAGTCTAAAGTGCTGCAAGAACAGGGGAAGGGGGCAGTGACCCTCGTGGCTCAACCTCAGTTTACCTACACTTTGTTCGACTTTGTCCTTCACTGGAGGGGGGGAAGGAGGAGGGGAGAAGGGTGCAGCTCATTAGCATTGGTGGTGGGGGGGTTGCAGGAGGTGATAAGGGAAGTGAGAAGTAGCCTGGCTGCGCAGCTAATCTCCACCCCCTAGTGCCAAGTTCAACACCCCCCAACTGGGGCTGTCTAGCGCCTGCTCCTCCCAACAGCCAGCTGCTGCAAACACAGCCCACCTGCATATCTGCCACTTGTCAGCTCCTGCTTCAGTCCCAGCTCACCCTTTTCCTGTTGAAAGCGGGAGGGTTAGGGAAGGGAGAAGGGCAAAGGGCGGCCTAGGAATGCAGACTGACCCCCATTTGCCAGTTGATACCTACTGTGTGTCTGCAAATAAGAATCAGATGCTCGCTGGTTATCTGTTCAGAACCCTCCTGTGAGGACCCCCAGGGCTCTCGCCTGGGGCTGGGGGAAGGGAGGAAGTCTTTGCCACATACCTTCCACTATGAAGAAGCTCAGCCATCTGCTGGACTGTCCTTTGGACTTAATTCTTTTTTGGTGGGATGACTACTGGGACTTAATTTTTTGGGGGATACTGGGGATTGAACCCAGGGGTACTTTACAACTGAGCCACATCCCCAGCCCTTTTTATTTTTTTGTTTTGAGATAAAGTCTAAGTTGCTTAGGGCCTTACTAAGTTGGTGAGGCTAGCCTCTAACTTTCGATCCTCTTGCCTCAACCTCCCAAGTCTCTGGGATTACAGTTGTGTGCCACAGTACCTGGTTGGACTTAAATAATTCCTGTCCTCAATTTCTGAAGCTCCTCACATATTTCCTAACCAAATGGCCCTTCCTACCATGGAAATTAACCTATTTACTTCCTTCAAAACATTGAATGTTATTGAAATTACAGTGTTGACTTTTGTTTTCCACTATATCAGAGGCGACTTGAGGGTAAGGAATTGGTTTTGTCCATCCTGTATGGCTGTGGCCAAAACCAGGCTCAGTGAACACTAGCTGCCTACCAAGGGCCCGAGGAACTGACCAGAGTCCCAAGCCTTTTGCTGACTTTCCCATGCAGGTGTTCAAGGACCTGACCTCCTGGGACCTGCACCTGGGGCTCCCGGGCAGCTCTCTGTTGCCTTGCTTTAGGCCTGGCCCACGGCATGCTGGGAGAAACCCTGCAGAAGCCCTGCAAGTGCAGTCCCTAGAGGAGAGCCACCTGCATGCCTGCCTGCATCAGGAGCTAAGCCAGGGTCAGTAACCCAAAGCCACTGCAGCAGGCCTGGAAAAGGCAGGAGGACAGGGCCATGCAGTGGTCATTCAGGCCACTTCCCTGCTGTCTATTGGCTTCACTCCAACACTTTCTGGGCCTTGTTCAAGTGGCCCATGGGGCTCAGCATCCTCCCAGAAGAAGGCTGAGAGAGTAAGGCCCCCTGAGCTGCTCCCCCCACTCCCGTGGGTGCTCTGTACATTTGACAGCTGCCTGACAGGAGGAGGGCAGGGGGAAGAAGGGAGTTGGGGCCCTGGGGACAGGCCCTTCTTGGTAGCACAAGCAGGTAAATCCTGAAGCTCTGCGCAGCTGGCAGGCTGAGGGCCTGGCCCCAGTGCCCTGGGCACCCTCAGGGCCTGTGTGCTGCTCGAGGCTGCCCTCTACTGGGCACATGGACAGCTGTAGCCGGGGAGTCTGACCCAGGAAAGAGGAGAGAGGTCCTGACAAAGCAAACTTTATTGTGGCCCTGTGCTCTCGGGCTCTTCTCTCCAGGGCCTCTTGAGACCGCAGGGCTCAGGGTGCCAGGCTCCTGTGGGGCCCTCACAACACCCTGTCACATTGAGGCTCAGGTGAAGGGGGCTGGTAGGGGGACATCTGCACCCAGCACACAGAGGGAGGAAGACCCTCTGTGCGGTGGGCTTGCGGCCCTTCTTCCGTCCCTGGGGCGAGGCCATCCTGGCTCCTCACTTCTTGGAACCCAGCTTCTTAGATCTGACTGTGGGTTTGGCCTGTGAAGATGAGGGAAAGCTCCCGTCTCCACTGTCTTCCCTGGCCTGGGCGGCCTCCCAGAACCCAGAGGCTCCCGGAGGCAGCCTCACCTGTGCCACTCACCTTTCTTACAGGGCTCTTCTCTGGAAGGCTGGACCTGGAATAGGGTGGGGTTGGCAAGAATTGGGGTCACAGGTGGGCAAGAGAGCTCAGCCTGATGCCAGTAGCTTGGGTCCTCCTGAGCCTGAATGGTTCCAGGAGACAGGGGCCTGGGCCAGGGGAGGTGAAGCTACTGGGTCCATTGCACCCTGGCTGCCACCAGGGTCCTGCCTGTCCATTTTTATTAAACAACCTTTTTTTTTTTTTTTTTCCTTCTGACAGCAGGGAAGTGGCCTGAATGACCACTGCATGGCCCTGTCTTCCTGCCTTTCCCAGGATAATATAAAAATGTAAAAATAATTCTAACTGCATCACACATAAATAAAAGAATAGGGGGTGGGGTTGTGGCTCGGTGGTAGAGTGCTCATCTAGCATGGGTGAGGCACTGGGTTCGATCCTCAGGACCACATGAAAATAAATAAATAAAAATAAAGGCATTGTGTCCACCTACAACTAAAAATTAAAAAAAAAATAAGTTATAATTTTCTTTACTTCCCACCAATAGTAACACTTCAATAAACTTTTTCTGTAAACTTTCTAAAACTATGTGAAATAAGATAAAAATAGTTTGATATCCTCTTCTTTGAATTACCAATACTTTCTCGCTATAAGTTTCAAAAGCATTATGTGGCTAGGCATGGTAGCGCATGTCTGATATCCCAGCTACTTGGGAAGCTGAGACAGGAGAATCACAAGTTTGAGGCCAGCCTCAGCAACTTAGTGAGACCCCCCTTTTTTTGTGTGTGACCCCGTCTTAAGGAATAAAAAAGGACTGGGGATGTGGCTCAGTGGTAAAAGATGCCTCTGGGTTCTGTCCCCAGTACTCTCTCAAATAAAATAAAAAAGGGATGTGGTGGAGCTCTGAGGTGGTAGAGTACCTGTGGTTCACTCCTCAGGATCAAAAGAAAAAAAAAGAGAAAGGGAAAGAGGGCACATCATTTAGTTAACTTTTATGTTAGTAGACATTTATAATGCTTGCATTTTTCCACTAGTTTTATTTTATTTTATTTTGAACCCAGAGACACTTAACCATGGAGCCACATCCCCAGCCCCTTTTTGTATTCTATTTAGAGGCAGAATCTCAGTGAGTTACTTAGGGCCTCCGCTAAGCAGCTGAGGCTGGCTTTGAACTTGCAATCCTCCTGCCCCAGCCTCCTGAGCTGCTAGGATTATAGCTGTGTGCCACTATGCCTGGCTGCTTTTACTAGTATTTGAATAATGCCACGATGGTATTTGAATACTAGTATTTGAATCGTGCCATGTGTATAATTTCTCTCATATTTTTTAAAATTATTTTTTAGTTGTAGTTGCACACAATACCTTTATTTCTATGTGGTGCTGAAGATGGAACCCAGGGCCTCGCACATGCTAGGCAAGCAGCGCTCTACCGCTGAGCCCCAGCCCCAGCCCCTCTCCCACATCTTGAACAGGATTCCTTGCAGGGGAAGAGAACACCTGCATGCCTTTGAGAGGGCTGTCCCTTCACTGCACACATGCCTGCTGGGCCTGCTCTTTCCAGCACAACACACCTCAGCCAACGACTTCTGGCGAATTTAATAGATGGAAAGAATTACCTTTCTGTCTCCTCTTCTTTGTCCAGCTTTTTTTTCTGGAAACCAAAACCAAGCATTACTAGGAGAGCCAGGGAAGGACCCAGGGCTGGAGCAGACTCCCAAGCCCCACATAGTCCCAGCTGAGCACCTGGCAGGACTTGGTGGCGGTAGCCTTAGCCTGTCCCACAGGCTTCTTTGGGAGCCTGGGCCACATGCTGGAGCCCAGTCCCTCCCAGGTCCTATGCAGGGTCCCACCTCAGTGAGAGCAGCCATGCTCCTCCCCCACCTTGGCAACGCTGGTCTGCTTCTGCAGTGCCGGCCGCTTGACTTGTTTGACAGGTGTGTCCTCTAGAGACACATCTGCCTCGTTGTCATCCTCTTCCTCTTCTTCCTCTTCTTCCTCCTCTTCCTCCTCCACCTCTTCCTCCTCCTCTTCTTCTTCCCAGGGTATGTCTGAAGTTTCTGTGATGGCGTGGGCAAAGGGGCAGGGGTAGGGGAGTGGCAGAGCTTCTGAGTAGCTGGGTGACACCTGCCTCCTGTCCCAAGACTTGTGCCCCAAGTGTGGTCCTGAGGAGATCCTGCATGGAGCTGAAGGTGTTAGCCTACCCACTGCCCAGGGCCTTTCTCCTCCACAAAGTGGGGGCCAGGGTGGGGCGTGGGGCCCTGGAAGCCCCCAGAAGGTGGGCATGGGAGAAAGAGGGCAAGGCAGGAGGACCACACACCATTAGGAAGGGGTAGGGGCGAGCATGAAGGTGGGCAGAGAGGGCGAGCAGGTTCCAGTGCTGGTGACGTGGTCCCCAGCATGGCACAGTTGAGCTGGTGGGATGGAGCAGAGCTGGGGCCCAGTGGAAGGTGATTAGGTCTTGGGGTTCCACCCTCACGAGAGGACTAATGCCCTTAGCCTAAGGGAAGTGGGAGATGCCAGAGGATTTTGGGGAGGAGAGTGCCCTGAGAGAGAGGCACAGCTGGACAGAGAAGAGGCCAGCGGAAGGGGTCTTGAAGGGAACAAGGTTATACCGAGCTGTTTGCTACACTGTACAGCTTCGTACTGAACCAGCAGCCAGGTCTGGGGTGGTCCTGTGTACAGGTGTTTTGCTAAGTGCTCCTTCTGACCACCTCATTTATTCTTGAAACTATTCTTCAAAGATGAAGCCAAGGGAGGCCCCATTCTCAAGCTACAGATGAGGGGCTGAGGCCCACAGAGGACCTGGGGCCAGGACACTTGCCGTGGCCTTCCACTTCAGGCTCCAGGTGATCCTGTTGCCTTTGGCGATTTTGTCCCCCAATTCAAGAATCTCTCAAGTGTCTGAGTACCCAGTGTGTCCCTAGTCTTGTTTGGCACCATACCCTCAAACTTGCCCACCAACCTCATACTTACCATAACATTCCTGGCCACTGAGAAACACAGGCCCTGAGCCAGCCCGGAGGTGAAAAGTAACTGGAGGAGAAAATTCTACTCCTGTCATGGCGACCTGCAGTGGAAGGGATGTGGGGACAGGAGCACAGGAGACAGGGTCACTGAGGTTTGGCAGCTGCTGTGGGCTGGCCTTGGTAATACTCAGATATGCTCCTCCCACCACAAATGCTCATGGGCTGTGTGGACCTTGGTGCCTGCTCCCTTCCTGCTGAGGTGGGCCTTGTCCAAGATGGGAGCCTTAAAAATCTCGCTTCAAGACCACAGATTGCCTTCCAAGATGAGGGGCAGCTGTTAGAGAAGTCTGAAGGCTGTGGTCTGACTTGGGATCTCCTTTGCGCAAATTCATGGTTAGGACCCAGAGGCGAAAGGTGTGGAGGGTTCTGGTGAGATGGCTCCCTGACGAGATACCAGAGGGCTCATCTCTCCTCTCATACTGAGAAGGGAGCTGCCCATGAAGGAGGGGACCCTCACCAGAGCCCACCCACTTGGGCACCTACTGTTGAACGTCCAACCTCCAGAACTGAGAAAAATCAAGCCGTCTCCGGTACCTTGTTAGGGCAGCCTGAGCCGAGTAACGTGTTGACCAAATGTGAAAATGCCACGTGGGACATGCGGTACAGCTTTGGTTTTATGAGAAATATATGGATATACATCTGAATAAAGGTTAGAAACAGTTAAAGAACTAAGTGATAACTGTCGGAGGAAAGTACGGTATTTATTATCTATACTTTTCCAAATGTCCCAAATTTCTTTTTTTCTTCTTTTGAGACAGGGGTCTCACTGTGTTGCCCAGGCTGGCCTTGAATTCCTGGGCTCAAGTGATCCTCCTGCCTCCGTGTCCTGAGTGTTAGAATGAAAGGAACACACCACTGCACCTGGCCCAACTCTTCTAGAATAACAACAACTTGTATTTTTTGAGCTTCTACCATGTGTTAGGTATGGTTAAGCATTTTACTTGCTTTATCCCACATAAATCTACCCCCCCACACCCCCATGATAGAAGTACTGTTGTTTACAGAAGAGGAAGCTAAGGGTTAGAGAGACCAACTTAAGAGTTTGTGATCCAGCTAGGCACAGTGGTGCACATCTGTAATCCCAGGAGCTCAGGAGGCTGAGGCAGGAGGATCGTGAGTTGAAAGCCAGCCTCAGCAAAAGTGAGATGCTAAGCAACTCAGTGAGACCCCGTCTCTAAATAAAATACAAAATAGGGCTGGGGCTGGGGCTCAGTGGTTGGGTGCCTCTGACTTCAATTCTCAGTACTGCTCCACCAAAAATTGTTTCCAGCCTACGACAAGGAGGCGAAGGCCCCTCCGAGGTCTTAACACAAGGGCTATGGGGAATGTTGAGGATTGGGGCCTAAAAAAAAACCCCAAACCAACCCCCTAAAACCAACAAACCCACTAGGCAGAATTGAAGAAAGATAACGGAAGTGCCAGTGCTGGGAGAACCTAAAAACCCTTAGCTGTGTCTCTCACACCCGCAAAGGCTGCATTCACACGGTGGGTACTGCCAGGCAGGAAGTTGGAACAAAATCCTAGCCTTGGGATATTTCTAGAGCAAATGGTAATGCAAACACAAAACCACTTCACTGGAACAACTCCCAAGCCCAGGCCACATGGAGAGCTTTCAGAGCAGAACAAGCAAACCAAACCCCTGAGGATGAGCTCACCATGAAAAGTCACAACTCAAACGAGAAACAACCCTGCCGGAATTAGCAGAAAGAGGCAAAGAACTTCAGGTTAGTACAACCAAGGAGTCCAGATAGGAGAACAATGACTGAACACTTCAAAATAAACCTGGTTATAAATGTAAAAGTGGGAATCAGAACCATTAAAAAAACCCATGAAAGTAAGAAGCAAATGCAGTCACAAGGCCATGAAAAATAGGAGCATTAAAATAAAATGATCAAATGGTAAAAAAATAGAATAAGCCAGTGGAAGCAAGAATTAGTAAGACAGGGCTGGGGTACTGGCTCAAAGGTATAGTGCTCACCTAGTGTGCGTGAGGCACTGGGTTTGATCCTCAGCACCACATAAATATAAAGATATGGAGTCCACCTATAACTATATAACTATAACTAATTATATATATATATATATAAATTAGTAAGATGAAGGGATGCTGTAAAGAATTACTCAGTACAAGCCAGGCATGGTGGTGCATGCTTGTAATCCCAGTGGTTTGGGAGGCTGAGGCAGGAGGATCGCAAGTTCAAAGTGAGCCTCAGCAATTTAGAAATGCTCTAAGCAACTTAGTGCAGCTCTGTCTAGAAGCAAAAAATAAAAAGGGCTAAGGGTGCTGTATCTCAGTGGTTAAGGACCCCTGGGTGCAATCCCAGGTAACAATAATTAATTAATTACCTAGTAAGAGGTAAAGGAGAGATTTCAAAACTATGAGAGATTAAAAAAATTTTAAAATCTTATAAATTAAAACAAAAAACAAAAGACAAAAATATGAAAGAAAGGTTAATACATGGGAAACTAAATGGGGAAGGTCCAACATGCATCTAATCATGGTGTGTTGTAAAGTTGAAAAATTATAATTTGAACCATTACAAGTTGGGGACTAACTTTGCAATTATTTTTAAAATTTTAATTAAAAAATAAACATACATCACACAATAAAATTATAAGAATCCACTGAAAATCCACAAGAATAATCAAATTTTAACACACTTCTTTTGGTAACTGATAGATCAAGGAGATTTAAAAAGTAACGCAGGTTTGAATGCTTAATACACTTGATTTAGCAGACACACATAGAATCCTACGATACCACCATGTATTTGTCTATATGTCAGGTATCAACAAATACCAAAGAATAGATAAGATAGTCTTTTTTTTTTTTTTT